AATTCTCAATTCCTATTTTGGCCAGATATTCGTCCAGGCAGTCGTGTCCATTTCTTAATCTAAAATTGGCAATAGCCTCTTCACAAGTCCTTCCATTACATTTTGCTCAGTCATCTCCGATTGTCTCCCAGACTTTTTCTTTGGTGATAGATAATAATTCACTAATAGACGATGACTTAATTTTGTCCCATATAGTTCTCCTAAAAGAGTCAAGAATAGAACACGGTCGAGGAATTAATAATTATTCTATGAAACATTCATTTGATTAGAAGAAAAAAATGTACCGATATATAGGGTGCACAAATAGAAGCTAAAAATATCAAGGGTGTTGTTATACCAATGGAAGTACCTTCAAATACCATGGAAAGTCAGTAAGCTTTGCTCAAGCAAGCACTGATAATAATAATAATAATAAATTAATAAATAAATAAAATTAAATTAATTTGAAAAAACGATTTTGGATATAACAATTGGATAAAACAATTTTTTTTTTTTTTTTTTTTTTTGACATTCTGTTTTTACAACATGGTGTAAAACTCACAAAACATTTTTCATTTTAAAAGAATGTTTTTGATGCCACAATTATATTTTTTAAAAATATGCCATAAATTTAAGAACGTAGAAATCTAAAGAAGATGGGTATTTAATAAAATATGAAGTATACATAAAAGATGATATTTTTCCTATGATTTGTAATTTTCGTATTTAATATAAAGATGAAATTCTTCACAATTACTAATAATTTTGCCTTTTGTAAAGCATTTTTAATAGTTATGTATGTAATTTGACATTAAAGCTGAAACATCCAAATAGATTTTTTTTTATTATGAAAACTAAAATGTTCCATTAAAATTTTAGAATTTGTTAAGTTTTAGTTTACACTGTAGAATAAATTCAGGAAATTCTGATCTATGCAAAAAAATATATATACACGATTTAGAAAAAAGATGTTGGTGCTGTCATCTATCGAAAAAAATATTCAGCAATGATACCTTTTTATTTATTTTTGAAATAATAAACCCTTTGAAATTTCTTCATTAAATCAAATAACAGATTTTTATAAAATATTAATAAATTCTGTCTAAAAAAAGTTATACTAGAAGAAAAACAAATAAAAATAATAAAGCTGTTTATTTCATGTCTGTTATTAGATTTCTAGGTTTCTTAGAAATAAAAAGATATAGATGATATGTAACCGAATACTTTTGTATCGTTTCATACTTACTCTTACACTAAATTTTACTCATTATTTACACAATGTGTTCTAAATATTGTTTTCTGTATTTTCCTTATTATGTGAAGGCGTCATCTATTTGTTCCAACGGACTGCAGTTTATTTTCTTTTAAAATACATAAAAAAAAGCTTTAGTATCTTTTATTGTCACTAGATGACGCTACTTTGCTTTTCTCAAATTTAATCAATAGTTTGCTCTAATTGTTTTGATATTAAACAAAAGTTTGTTAAACTGTTTTGGTAAAATATTTTGCGGTTCAGACTTTGACCTAATCACCTTATCGACACAAAAATAAGTAAATAAAACTCCAGACAATTTATTATCACTTTTATATTTTGATATACTGAGAAAAATGAGACTTCTTTGTCATCAGCATCGTATAAATAGTTTTCAAAGAATACAGAACAACACAATGCTATTAGATTTCAAATTTCATTCGGTTTCTTCTTACTATACAAGTAATAGATGAATTTTTACTAGCAAATGCTTTTTTTTAAATACCGGATTTACATCATACTGAAATCTTGTGTATTAATTATATATTTTATTTCATTTAATAATTTTTTTAATAATTAAGATTTTATTTTCAAAAAAATTCCATTATTATATTAGCAATTATGTTATATTTTACTTAAACGAAACCAATTTGACTTTGGCTCTTCAAAATTATGCATTTTTTTTTTTTTTTTAAATTCCGTTTGAAAAAATTTAATATTTTTTGGATTCATACCAAATTTGTTATGCTTACGTTAATGTCAAAATAAAAGTGTCATAATTTCCTGGCAGTAAACCACAGTGAAGTATAACCGCAAGTTATAATTATAGATTGGAAAAATAAAAGAATTGATATGATCTCTTAAAAATCATGTAACAAAAATTTTCCAATTTTATACTCGACGTTTATTTAACTAACAAAATAATTTTCAGCTTTTGAGAGAAGTTTTTTTTTTTTTTTAAGGGAAGTGGTAATAATATTAATAATAGTTTAAACACTTAAATCTACGGTAGTGGAAATTGATAGAAGATATATGTATACATTAATCATAATAAAAACAAAAATATTATAAATAAAAGACATATTCCATAGAAACAAAGCGAATTAATATTAATAAATAAAACAAAATAGCTTCATCCTATAATGCAAGAAATTCTAAAAAAATAGAAAGAATAAAAAAAAATGTAGAATTTAAAATTGCAAACTATTCGATTCTGAATAGAACACTACAGAAAATGCTGAAATAGAATAAATTATAAATAGAATAAATAATTATAAATAGAATAGAAAATCTTGATAAATAACTTTATTAATTATTAATTTGTAATTCTTATTTAATTCTTTTATACGATTTCATACAAAACTTTAAAAATAATAATAATAACAATTACCTTTGTTATCATATGACGATTCTTGAAAATACGATTTCCTTCCATCGTACATAACATTCAAAATTTCTTTCTTTACGTTCAAAAGATTTATTTCTCGTTGCCACTAAAATTCCATCTAATTATCGTCTGCAGAACTTATTTTTAGACGATGCTATTTTAGAATTAATTTTCACTAAAACTTCTAAAAAAAAAAAAAAAGTTAATAGATTTCATGGAATTCTATGTATAATCCAGGAATTATAGTTAATACATTATGATACTTTTAATTTAGAATTTTAGTCTAATAATCTTAGTTCAAACCAGTATTTATTTATATATTTATTTGCTGGAAAGATAAACACTAATAAATGTTAATTATCTGCGAAATATTATTATTACTGCAAAAGAATATTTGGCAACAAATTTTCCTTTTTTTTTTTTTTTTTTTTTTTTATACAAAGAAATATTTTGTGCAATAAATATATTATTTTTAATAATAATATTAATAAATGTATTATTAATAATAATAATAATAAATATATCATTTTAAATAATAATATTTTTAAAATTGCAAAGTATGAGAAAGCACGAATTGGAAGTATTTATGTAACATTTAATAGGAGAAATTTAAATTTACAAATAAGTAATGTTATATTAAATAATCAATGACGAGATATTTTAAATGATTATTAATCGAATGCAGTAATATAATTACTACTTTGGACTGGTATAATAAATATCCTTACTAAATAAAAATGTATACACATATAGTATAATTTTTCTAGTCTTTTTTAAAGCTGCTAGGAAAATTAAAAATAAATAATATAAAATTTGGTAATTTCTTAAAAATTGATATAAAATAATTACTATCCGTGCATATAGTAGAGAAAAATAAAATAATGCCATGAAATTAACTAAAAGCTCGGTATTGCTATTAACGTAATAATTAGTAACGCTACTTAGTAATGCAATTAAAAAGTAATGCTCAGTAAAATTAAATAATGTCATTGGTGTTTTTTAATTTTATCAATGTTAAAATAATAGTACAGTTAATAAACAATAGTTCTCAACGTAATAACTTCCTTTACAGAAAAATAAAACAGATTCTCAGATTATTTTAACCCCGCTCATTCTTCCTTTAATTTTTTTTTTTTTTAAAAAAAATATATATACATAAGAAATTATAACAAACACATGATATAATAATTTTTTAATGTTTGAAAAAAATGTCACAATCTCTGTAAAAGAAAAAGACAAGAAAATATAAATTATCAATGCTTAAAAAGTGTACAGTACAATTAGTATAAGAATTGGATACTTACGTATTAACGGTACCTTGGCGATAGTTGCGCCAATAAAGAGCACACGCGCCAACCGCAGCTACAGATTTGGCGCCAATCTACACTTAAAATTTTTGTTCCAAATAATAAAATATATATATGAAACACTTCATTTAAAATCAAAACGCTTTCAAAATATTTTTATTCCAAATAATAAAGATTGGCGACACTTAAAAACCGCCAAGTCTGTCGCCGAGGTACCGTTAATACGTAAGTACTAAGAATTGTTGTATAAAATAAATAACGAGTGAAAATATTTCTTATCATTGTGGGATTTATATGTCTGGTAATCACCAGATAGCGGCACCTTACGGTCGCTTGTCTTTGACAGAGCTGTTTACAACGTGGGGGCGTATTGAACTTTGGACTCTGACCCCACGAGAAGGGGAGAGGGCCCCGTGGATGAGAAAAGAAAGCCCCGCAGATGGGCGCGGAAGAGAACGCTGGCAGATAACGAAACTGCAACGCGCTGCGTCAAGCAGCGGTAGAAAACGGTTGTGAATGATTAACAATTAATGTAAATATATTCATTAAATATGTGTTGTTGAGAGAAAACCAACGTTTCGTTGATGTGTTTGGAAATACACCCCTAGACACCCACTTCAAAAGTTCAAGTTTTGTTAGACTGGTAGAGAAGTCTAACAAAACTGTAGGTTCGACCGGGATGAATCAGTTAAAACCGGTGTAACCCTACAGAAATTGGGGGCTCGGCCGGGATGCATCTGTTGAAATCGGCTAAATCTACATCATCTAAAATAAAATATTTTATTTAAGAGTAACAACTTATAAAAGAAGAATTCTAGAAAGTACTCTTTTAAATATGGAAAAAAAAAAGTGGAGCAACAAATAAAATTGTATTTATAAAAATAGATGAACAAAAATTACCAGGGAAACAAAAGCTTACAATATATAAAAATGGCAAATATTTAAAATACATATTATCATGAAAAAATATTTTGAAGTGGAACAAATTCCTATCAATTTGTCCTTTATAGGAAACATGTTATTTTATTAAAAAAATAATTTTAGCCCACAATGATGAAGGTTTTAATTCATGTAACAACAACAGTTCTCGTTAGATCACCGAAGTTAAGCATCATTGGGCGCGGTCAGTACTTGGGAGGGTGACTGCGTGCCGTTGGCAAATTTGGGACCTGAATGGCCGAGTGTCTAGCGCTCTGGCGCTCGGTGCCACAGGTTTCGGGTTCGAATCCCGGCGGTGCCATGGATGTTTGTAGTGGTTCGGAATCCACTTTAAGCCGTAGGTCCCGGTCTTCTATGACTGTAAGAGCGTCACGGAGCAAAAGTCAGGCTTCTACCTACGGGTGCTCCATCACAACAGAAGCTGCTTCCTTCCCCTTCAATCATGAGTCCATATGGGCTCGTGGGCTTGGCCAGCCAAGTGGGATAAGAAACAACAACAACAACAACAACAGGAATATTTTTCCTGGATACTGCAAAACCCTCCGACAAGGTCTGTCTAGATCAGGGGTGGCCAACCCGCGGCCCGCTTTCAACATTTTTCCGTCCCTTGAGATGTATCACACTTTTACAACATATATTTATTTTATAATGACCAAAGGAATGAAAACCAATGCATTAAAAAAAAATACATTATGTGTGCATCCCTATATTCAAAAATTAACTGTCAAAATTATGAGAAAAAATGAACTTTGATTTTAAAATAATACTCTTTCGAATATGTGGCACATCTTGCCTGTTTTATGGATGAGTTTACAGTTATAAGTTCGCAGAATCATTAAATTATATTCTGCGAACTCATGATGCGCGCACATCTTGGAACATCTAATATAACAGGTTCTATGTTTCACTTTAAGTGACCTCAGTGACCATCCCTAGATACGCACAGTTGATTGTTGATAGCAGAGCAAACCAGACTCTTAGTTCAAGTTGTTAGTGCTTTTAGTTCGCGAATCTTTTTTTCTAAAATGAAATTGACCCAACACAAAACACACTCAAACGTAACAGACGCTAACCTTCAACACCTATTACAATGTGTAAATACCCAAATTGAGATCTATTTGCAAAAGAAGTGAAAAAATGGAGAAAATTTTGATAAATCGCAGTAAACTAAATATTTTTTAATGATTTCATTTTTTTTTATTACATTTATATTTATATTTTTTTTATGTTTCAAATTTAGTGTTATATATTTCTTTACAATGTGTGTTTAGTATCATTATTATCTATCTATGTTTACATGTAAGAATAATTGAAAACACAATAATAATAACGCATTATGTCTCAATTTTTCACTTCAAAAAAATATCTAAGAATGTATAATTTTATATGCGGCCCGCGGAGTTCTGATGCATTTCCAAGTGACCCACAAGATTATTTGGATTGGGCATCCCTGGTCTAGACTATGGATGGTCAAACCTCTGGCAACGTGCTACAGTGTGGCACGGGGGAGTTTTAACAGTGGCATACAAAAACTTATTGAAAAATTTTAAAATTTGAAGAAATAATATCATTTTCAGGAACTTTGTCAAAATCCATAAAAACCCTACTCATACGCTACTGAATAATAGGTGGGCTGAAAAGTTCATAGGCCATATTAAATCCATATGATTTTTAGATAGCCCTAACCTTCAAAAGACATGTGTATAAATTTGACAGCTGCTGCACGTATGTGAGTTATAGCATTTTTAGTGTTCATCACGTGCAGTCCACTCGGCTGACTGTCGATAGGACTCCGGTGTGAAATGATGGAGCCATGTTTCATCCATTGTCACATATCGACGCAAAAATTCGGGTTCATTACAATTGAACAGCTCCAAACTTTGTTTAGAATCATCAATTCGTTGTTGTTTTTGGTCGATTGTGAGCTTGCGCGGCACCCACTTTGAACAGAGCTTTCGCATATTCAAATATTGATTCACGATATGTTCAACACGTTCCTTTGATATCTTTAGGGTCTCAGCTATATCGATCAACTTCACTTTACGGTTATCAGAAATTATTGTGTGGACTTTTTGATGTTTTCGTCGGTAACAGCCTCTTTGGGGCTTCCACTGCGTGCATCGTCCTCGGTGCTCATTTCTCCTCGTTTAAATTTAGCAAACCACTTCTCTATGGTTGGTTTTCCTGGTGCAAAGTCCGAATAATGTTTATCAAGCCAAGCCGTGGCTTCAATAATATTTTTTTTTTCGCCAAAAAGCAATGCTTTATTAACACCACGAAATTCTTTTTTATCCATTTTTAATATGCTTTTATTAGCTTCACCTGTATGTTTGTATGTAACTCACTTTTTGGGCTCGATGTTGGGACTGATGGCGCCATCTACTGGCGAGTCAGTCAACTGATCAAACCCTACTTATTTTGTATAATTATTTTGTTTAATCTTAATTCCTTTTGTTTTATTTTACTTTTATCTTAAAATTCTCATTTTTTTTTAACTTTAACCTTTTTATTTTTGGGCATCGTCAACGAACTCTTAATTGTACCGATAGCTTTAGCTTTTTTGATCTCATGCTTTAATTGTTCTCAAGCAGATGTTTTTCCTAAATTTTAAATTCCTTTATTTATTTTTAATTACTTCTATTCATTAATTTAAGAAACTACAATTTATGCTAATGTTTCAATTAATTTAAGATGTGGAGGTTTTGTGATTCTTAAAGCCACCAAGGAACATCATAACCGGTACGCCCGTTGCCCAGCTTTCTTTCACCCCGGGTAGAAATTCAGTAATATCCGCGATCGAATTGCGCTCTTCCTATTGGCCGAAAATTTCCGTGGCTAAAAAGAGGCGGATCTCAAAGGCATAGGAGTGCGATCATGTCGAATTGCGCTCTTCCTATTGGCCGAAAATTTCGGTGGGCAAAAAGTATATAAACTTAGCGGATAATCGGCCAAGGTACCGTCTCTGCATAATTTGCACCAGACCTAGACTTTAGTCATCCTTTCTAGCAGCAATTACTCTACTTTGTAGTATATTCCAACTTTTTTATATTATTCTTTTTTTTGCTTATATTAATTGTATTGTACTTAGCTTTTTTAGTATTTTTTCATTAATTTTTATTTGCATTGTATTTATCTTTTTGTATTTCTCATAAACTTTTAAATTTTTTATTCCTTAATTTTAAAAAACACGCTTTTAGAGTTAATCAGACTAAAAAGTAAAAAATAAATTAATAGTTTAAAAAAACTAAAAATACGCTTTTAGAGTTAATCTATCTAAAAAGTAAAAAATAATTGTTAACATAAGAATAAAATGACTGACGAGAAAATGAATGTCACTGTTCTAAAAGCGTGGGGTGCTCAATATCAATGGTTATAATTTTTCACTAGTTTCACTCAGAAATGCAGAGTTAATTTTAAAATGTCATACAAGCACCCCACGCTTTTAGAACAGTGACATTCATTTTCTCGTCAGTCATTTTATTCTTATGTTAACAATTATTTTTTACTTTTTAGATAGATTAACTCTAAAAGCGTATTTTTTAGTTTTTTTAAACTATTAATTTATTTCAAACTAACAAAAGTTGCTTCACTAAAAATGCTTAAAAATGCACTTACTAATAGTGCGACAGCTGTCAAATTTATACACGTGTCTTTTGAAGGTTAGGGCTAACTAAAAATTATATGGATTTAATACTAGTAGCTCCATCTATGTGTCAGCCTATGAATGTTTCAGCCCACCTGTTAGATACGACGAGGCAGCGTGACACCTCTCTCTCTCTCTCTGCCAAAGTGTACTCACAACAACTAGAACACCTTCGCAATTCCTCTAACAATTATTTCTGAATTCGTCTTTGAATTCTTCGAATACTCTTTTAATTCTTATTCTTCCTCAATTCTAATTAAATTATTTAAAATTAATTAAAACCTTCTTTACATCGACCCAAATGGGACATACACTACAGTTTAGCATGTTTAAAACTTAAAGCATTCTTATTGAACTTCTCTATTCATCACAGCTACTATTTATTTGCTTATAGTTTATCCTATTTTATATTTTATTATCTTTTAATTTATTTTGCTGGATTAAATTATAGACACGTATTACAGTGAATTATTTCGCAAATGAGATTGCTCTAGTTGCTTAAAGATACGATAGGTTGTAATGATATATACATATAAGATATGTTATTATATAACACTCATATTTTTTTTCTTAATTCTAATTCATCCATTTTATTAAATTTTATCAAAGAAATTTATTTAAATAAAGGTTAACTAAAACAGAGTGATAATAAATCTTCTTTGTTTGCTATACATTAAGAAATAATGGACAAAAAAATGTCTTCTAAAAGAGTTTTATTTTTAAACTAGAATATATTTTACAGATGGATCAACAGATCGATTTTTTATGCATAAATTTGTGGGGGCCATTTTTTCAGAATTTTCAGTGCATTTAAGAAAAAGTTATTAATATTTAAATATGAAACAATTCATATATTCAAAACTGTTTTTGTTTTATTAATCTTTTTTTAAAGATTATTTGATTTGTTTAACACGTATTAACATATTAATTTTGATTAAAAATTACAGACAACAAATCTTTTCTAAAAAAAATATATTTTAATATAAAATTTTAAGGAAATAAAAATAAAAATCAGCTTATTTAATTATTTTAATTCAGTATAAAGAATGAGAAAATTTAATTTTCTGCAGATTTAGATTTTTATTTTCTAAATTTAGAAAAAATTTAGTACAATTGTTGGATACAAAAAATATATAAAACAAAATATAACTATATATTGGACTAAATATTACTTTTACATTACTTTTAGTAAATCTCCATTAATATATTCTATGATACAATTTAAATTATGCTATTAGTTGTAGAATATTCATGTACATAACTTAACTTCACAATAAATAATAAAAGACTGTTGAATTTAATGGTTAAAAATACCAGTTAATTTATATTAACATTAACGATTAACACCTTTAATAAAAAATAACAATTATTTCTATCTCTACTTTTTACTAAATATAGAAAACAACGAACAAAATATTTTTTCTAATATTTAAATGTCTTATTTTTCTCTATAATATTTTTTCTCTATAATATTTAAATGTCTTATTTTTCTCTATTTTTCTTATTATTTCCATAAATATATTCTGTGTTACAATTTAAATTAATGCTATTGGTTGTAGAATATTCCT